CCGCGGCAGAAACATCCGATGGGAAGGCAACTCGTTCGTTGAAACGAACGGGTGCCTTAGGGAACTCACGAACGGAAACGGGGGGGGGGGGGAAACAAAAGAATCTAAAAACAACATTAAAATAAGAAAATCTGAAGTGAATCTAAAAGAAGAAATCTAAAGAAAATTTAAAAACAAAAGAACTGAAAGAGAAAAAAACAAAAACTTACCCTGCAACAGAGAAAAACGGTCGCCCGTTTTCACGGGCGATTGTCCAGTACACTGGGGCTTGAAATGCCCCGGACACTTCTCATAGCGCCACATGGCGCCTCCTATTTTAGTTAGTGTTAGTTTTAGGTTTTTTTTTTTTTTTTTTTTTTTTGTCATATTTGGCTTTTGGCAACGGCCTTATTCCGTTTGGGGACTCACCCACAAACTATTAAAATAAAAACCCGAGTTCGATCCCTACCGGCTGTCTCTTATACACATCTAGATGTGTATAAGAGACAGCCGAGCTACCGACCCACTTGCGAAAGTTTTTAGATGCAATTGCAGAGGTAGGTCAGCCGAGGGCGTTTGCTCGTTCGCCGTAGTATAGATACGTTGGTTAACGCCAAGTGGACCCGAACGTCGTTCGTTCCTTAGGGCGCTGATCTCCTAAGTAGGAAACGGATGCCGGTCGACTAGGACGGTCTCAACCAAGTGTAAAACCACAAAATTAATCCTAGTCCCTTAGACACACAATCAAAAGAAGGTTATAACAAACACCCATAATTTCACCAAAAGGAGTCGACTGTAGTCGACAGGAACATGCCTAATCTAAAATGATAACTGAAAAAATCAGAATCATTATATGGTACGTCCAACAACACGATATCAAAACAATCTGACCACCCCGGGTCAAATTTCGCAAAACAATCATACAATCTCCAACGAGGAGTCGGTTACCGGCAGGGTTGTCGAACCCCGGCCCCGGGACCCCGCCGGGGTTCCGGGGTTCCGGAGGTCGGCACCCGGGACCCCGGCCCCCTGTAGGGGGAAAAAAAAAAAAAAAAAAAAAAAAAAAAAA